ATTCATTTCATCCAAACCCCCAGATATTGTAATGTTACTGGATGAAATAAATATAAGTGAGTAACATTACAATATCTGGGGGTTTGGATGAAATAAATATAAGTGAGTAACATTACAATATCTGGGGGGTTGGATGAAATGAATACAAGTGAAACCCCCAGATATTGTAATGTTACTCACTTGTCTTCATACAAGATTTGTAGAATGTTTTTGCCTTTATGGTGGCACTGTTGTCATAGGGATTTGCTGCTTCTTCCAAAAGACCTAAATTATTCAGAGAAGTGATGGAAAGTTAGTTTTATAAAAAAACAAAAACATAAAAAACCTTGAATAATCAGTAACAAAAATTATCAAATATTCATATAAGACAAACACCAGTTATCAATTTAAACTAAAAAAAAAGGAGATACTGGTTTTATCAAGGAAAGCCTTTAACGTACGATATTATCTGACAGAGAACAGAATTATAAAACTGAAGGAAGCTTTTGATTGGCTTTAAGAGTATTTGAATTTATAACGATGTTTTGACTGACATCCGGTTGTATATTTCCATTAGTATAGATACAGCTAGTATCTAGTAGTTGCGATTACAATTTGAAAATCTATGTAAAAAAATTAAAACACATGTGATATGTGCTTCCCAAGCTCAAAATAATTAAAACACATGTGATATGTGCTTCCCAACCTCAAAATACTTCACCATATCACTTAGAAATTATAAGCTATGTTACAGAACAAAAATACAGTATACGTTACAGATAGTAACGTGTGCAAGTTTTGAATAACAGGAATACGACTCGACTTTGAAGGATAAGAATGAAAGAAGCACGAAACAACTTTAGACTACACGTGAAGAACAGTTAATATTGATAATATAATACATAACAGGTTTCATGCATATGTCTTAGGTAATAGCATGTGCAAGTTTGAATAACAAGAATATTTGGCTTTGAAGCATAAGTATAAAAACGGAGGAAGTATGAAACAACTGTAGACTACATGTGAAGAAAGTATGGTATTGATAATGTAATAAACAACGGGTTTCAGCGTGGGTCCGATAGGTTAAGCTTAAATCTGCAATCTGAATTATGGCCGTTGATCACGGGGAGGGGGTTATTAGCATGGTTTCAACTGCCAACATATTTTGTTTGGAATATAAATGACCAAGTAACGTTTGTTTGTTTGAAGCTAAGCACAAAGCTACAGAATGGGCTATCTGTGCTCCGCCCACAACGGGTATCGAAACCCGGTTTCTAGCGTTGTAAGTCCGCAGGCATACTGCTGTGCCACTGGGGGGCACCAAGTAACGTGATACCCTCAACTGACCGAATTGTGGGATTTGACAGTCAATCTAAAAATGTGAAATTCGAACCATAAATCCTCAGATCCCCAGTCCGGGCACGCCAAACACTGTCATATCACCAGGTTACTTTACGTTAAAAGTTATACAAGTGGAAAAATATTTCTTAAAAATTGAAAGTGTAGGAGTGGGTGCACGAAAAAGTGGGAAAACAATGTAGGAATGGGCATGGTGTAAAAAAAAAAAAACTTCCTCTATATAACCTCACAAGGGGTCGTGTCTAATATCCTATCTATAATTACGTTGTTTATTTTTCTATTCTGTGAAATTTAGTTTTTCTTATCATACGGTGATTAGATTATACGACACCAGAAGAAAAAGCAACATGATTTCGTACATTAGCTATATAGGTGGATTAGAATGCAAAGGTAAAAAATCTTAAGAGTTTTCTGTGCATCGACATCATGGGTTCGTTACTGTCTATTAAAGTAGAAGAATCATAGACATACTTTTGTATGTACCGATGCATGTATAATATCATGAACACAGAAAAACAAAGCAGGCATGGACCAAATGTTGGACACGCCCCTTTGTGAGGTTGTACAGAGAAAATCGTATTACATCTTGCCCATTCCCCACTCTTTGGTGCATCCATTTCTACACGTTCAATATTTTTAAAATATTTTTTCCACTTGTTCATGCACTTTTTTTTATACAAGGTGACATGATCTTATGTATCTTTCATTCCCTTGTGTTGATATTCTGTATGTATATCATCAGTGTGGGTGTGCACCATAACATTATGTTACTTATTAAATGCTTCATGAATGCAAACTTGATTTATTTTACAATACCTATTATAAATTCCTTGAAAAACAGCATAGCTTGTCTTCTAGTTTAGATAGTGAAGCTTCTCTCAAGGCTCACCCAACGTAGGCATACCCCATACTACTCACAGTTCCAGATCTTGTCATACAGTGCTGTAGATCGAGAAGACTACACAACCTTCACTATTTTATTTTACTACATCTACTCAGTATACGACGTGAGCTAGCGGAAGTACGTATTTTAAAATGGCGTCCCTGTGCTGTTGTTCTATTTGATGTATTTATAACTATGTTAAGTCTGTTTGTTATACAGCCAGAAGCGTTCAACAATGTCAGTCAGTGAACGAGATTGAGAAATTTGTGGTTTTGTGAAATTTTTGCATCTGCTCTGCTGACTTTCTCAAGCGGTTGTATGACTTGTAACTTTGTATGCGGTTTGTTAATCACCTAAGGTTGTCTCTCAAATACTTTTAAAGATTTATTATTTGGTTGTTAAAGGAGTATATATGAGTAAGTTTATATTGCATGTATTATGTATCCACCTCATTCCTACTATAAGTATTGCCGCACTGATGAGCAGAAGCGGTGAAAGTGGTGGTAATACGTGCTATTGAGTTCTGTGTCCCTGTCGATTCAAGAAGCTGATATATTTACAAAACAAACTGCTCTGTAACTGAAAGAGAAGGCTGCTTTCAAAGTTCAATTGTAAAATAACATTTGAAGAACGAGATAAGTGCAACGTCATCTCATTATCGTGAGGCGGGAAGACAGTGTGAAAATGTAAACAGTATGAAAATTAAAAGGCTGAATAACAATAAGGAAGAGACTTTAGGCAGAATCGAATTTTGTTAATTATATTATATTATAAGGTTATTATATTTTTGCAAAAGCTCTCCATGTTGTACGTTTAATAATAAAATATTAAAGACGTATTCCTCAAAAACCTAAATTAATGAACATCTTTCATAAACGTTTCGTTGGATTTACTTTCTCGCAAGTCCTTAACACCGTACTGTCGTGAATAAAACTAAAAGTAAACTTGGTGCTGATTCTAATTCTCTATACACCAGAACTAGCTAAATTATTATTGGTGAATTTGAATAAAATGGCTTAAGGAAAAACAAACAAAAGTTTGAGAAATGTGAAGGTACTACTATTGTAGTTTTGTAAGGGTACTAATGTGAAGCTTATGTTGTAATAGCTAGGTATATATACAATGTGAAGTTGATACTATTATAGTTTCGTACTCGTAAAAATGTGAAGCTTATTCTATCATAATTATTTACATGTAGAAATGAGAATTTGCCTGCCTGACGTGGCATTTTTAAAGAACTCGTCGTTACGTTGCTTGCACTTTATAGGTTCAAAACTAAAGGTTTTAGATAAAAGCAATGGCATTGCATGTAGCACAGATGCTGTATAAAACTTTTAGATTGGATGGCTTCACAAGTCAACGAATTTCACTTTAAGAAGCCATAAAATATTTATTGTAGTGCTGGGTAAAAACAAACGTAAATCGTTGGGTTCTACTTTCATTTTAATTTATTCAGTCACAGTAGAAGTTCTGACAAAACGTTCGGTGCAAAACTGAAATTCTAAGTTGTCTAGTAAATCTTAGAAAATAAAACCATGCAGATTATATTTAAAACTTGCACTGTAATTCGTCTCCAAGAGGTTAGTGTTAAATACAGTAAATCATCGAAATGCTCATCCACTTTTCGCATAAAACGTATTGTAACGAATTTATTGTTATGTATTTATTTTAATATGAATGTTGTTTAGATTAAGTTTATATTTAGAAACATACATAGCTTATCCTGTTAGATAGGTATTGCGAAACTCCCGCCTATTCTCCAAAGTTGTAGATGACTCTCGAGAGTAAGAACCAACAATATATCTATACACGTAAACGTAAAGTATTGTTACGTAAGACTGAATTTTCTAGAAAACTTCCCACGCCTATAAATATAACTAACGCGACGCACCAGGAAAGTATCTATTATTAGTTCGCTATAATCAGTGTAATTTCGAAAGCTATAACTGTGATTTTTATAACGCTTATCAATCGGAAAACAAGATATTTGACCAGGAATATTTATAAATTTTGAACGTTACAAATCGTTTAACTTCGGTGGATTCTCATCGGACATTAGTATTTTTACGAAAACATTACCAACTTCAATGGTGGAAAACAGCGTGTGGCCAAGGAGACAAAGCTAACTAGCTTCCCGGCGAATCGCACTTACATCAACTCGCTCATCGTAAACCCTCGATAAGATATCAAGGAAGTTCCAGACTAGAAAGAAAACTTTATATTATTTGTAAGTTTGTGAAACTTTTGTTTATGAATCATTGTTTGTAATAACTATTTGTAATAATTGTTATTGTAAATTGTACTGTTGGGTATATATTAAAACGTATTTGTGTTAAAAACGAAGACGGTGTGTATCAATCTTGTTGACAAATATCGTAAACTGACTAATATATCGGCATTTATTTAAATACTAAATCCAAAGTTCAATTTAACTACTAAATTAAAATTATTTAACTCGGCTTCGGACTATTCGAGATTCTAATACATAACAGGCATACTTACTGTTACTTCCATAGTACATTACACGTGTAAAATATATCTACATACCTGTAGAAACCACCAAGAAAACAATTGTAAGCCGAACAAACTGTTAAAAGACAACGTGAGACTAAAGAGGGCGCACGAATGTGTCTGAACTAGTTCCTCTGATATCAGACTTCTGACAGTTTGTTCCGTTTACTGTGGTTTGTCACTAACTGCTATACACGATATTGTGTTCTTTAATTATTACTATTATCCTGACTAATTATACATTAGAAGGGAATTTAAATAAATGGTATTCTGACTCGTTATACATCAGAAGGGATTTTAAAAAAGGGGACTCTGACTCGTTATACATCAGAAGGGATTTTAAATAAAAGGGATTCTGACTCGTTATACATCAGAAGAAATTTTAAAGAAGGGGATTCTGACTCGTTATAAATGTAAATAGAGTTTAAACAAGACGATTCCAACTCGTTTTACATCTTAATGGATTTTAAACAGGGGGGAGCCTGACTCATTATAAATCTAAATGTATTTTAAACAAGGGGATCCTGACAAAAGTTTTTATCATATCTTAGATGCCACGACGCTTGTAGTCCGTCGTGCAAAATTAAAACGTTTGGCATTTTAATCGGACGAATAAGACCCAAACACAAGTTTCGTAATAAAGTATAAGTAAAAACATCAATCATCTATCTAAAGTCTTATTTTATTCACTACATTTGGTGAGTGTAGCGGTAAATGTTTATACTTAACGTGACAAATTTGATTAAGTATATTAGCAGTGTTGCAACTTGAAGCACGTTTTTTTCTAAACACTAAAGCAGAGTAGGAAAATAAGACCTGGCTAAGTAGTCAATTAATATAGATATAGGTACTCACCCTTAAAGAGCACAGTTTTAAAGAGCTCAATGCCGAGAATTTACTAAGCTGATTAGACCTATATACAAACCTAATACTTGCTCTTCGAACGTGAATACCTTTCAATATGATCTGTAATTCGTCCGCTAATACTTCAAACGTGCTTATACTACTTCTATCTTCTGGAATCACGTGTCGCTTGTTCCACGTGCCACACGCATACTGGAAAAAATCTTCACAGGGATCAGCTGTCTGGTCCATGGCCAGTAAAAGAGAGGCCGCTAAAATGACCAAATCGGAAGATTCAGTTATAGTCAAAATAATATATGATAATGCTCAGTCGTGTATAGGAATTGTACGTATTGCCAACTTCATAACCCCAATCATGTTTGCCAGTCTCAGAACTTCCTTTTCACAAAAATTTGGCGCGATTTTCTTTAAATAGGAAGATGGCGTTGTGCACAAGAATATTAAAAAGCTATTCAAACTGAACACCTTCCCAGGAGAGGAAATTTAAGGCAAAATATCGAGCAACCCTTTTTTATGACAACTCAGATGAAGGTTAAATCAATGCTTTTCTTAAGGTCACCCAGAGGTAGATTAACTTAACGCGTTTCTTATGTCCACCCAGAAGAATGTTATACCACCACTTCACTTACGGCCACTCAGATGAAGGTTAAATCAATGCTTTTCTTAAGGTCACCCAGAGGTAGATTAACTTAACGCGTTTCTTATGTCCACCCAGAAGAATGTTATACCACCACTTCACTTACGGCCACCCAGAGAAGGTTATATCAACCTTTTCTTACGACCACTCAGATGAAGGTTAAATCAATGCTTTTCTTATGTCCACCCAGAAGAAGATTATACCAACACTTCACTTACGGCCACCCAGAGAAGGTTAAAACAACCTTTTCTTACGGCCACTCAGAGGAAGGTTAAATCAACACTTTTCTTATGGTTACTCAGAGGAAGGTTAAAACTGCATGCTAGACACTTTACAGGAACATTTTAAATTAGAATATAAATTAAGACAAATCCTTTCTTCTAGTTGGAAACATTTCAGTTATAAACCGTATACAATTCACATTAAAACACGATCCTTACTCCTATTGAGAAGACACTCCATAACCTGTTCTTTCAAAGATGTAGTTAAAAGCCAATACAAATACAAAACTTCTTTATAATTAATGTGGAAGACCTTTCTTTCCGTGATTCAATTTAAAGTAAACATATATATATATATATACACATTACAATATCGTTTGTTTCTGTCTATGTTCTGGATTTTAGTTGGTTGGTAGCGCTTTAACATTGCTCTTCATCCAACTTATTTAAAAATAATTCATATAATCTTTAACAAAATCATTCCAGTCCAGTAAAAATATCTTAAATATATTCTAAATAATAATAATCACATATTATGTAAAATCCATAAACAATTAAAACTTGTAAATAATAAAACATGTTCCAAAAGCATAAGAAACCCAGAAGGTATTTAAATTACACAATTTACCAAATTTCTTTATGAAATAACTTCCATAGAAACAAATTTTTTTGTCGATTATAACAAAACCAAAAATAACGATTCTTGTAATAAGCCATGGGTACTTAAGATACAGTTGTAGACATGTTCTGAGCATCCCAATTAATGGACTCCGAATTAAATGTTTAATACGAAACGTACGCTGGTTCATTATAAATCTTAATTTCTTTGTTTGGTCAACATAACTTTCACCACATATTGTAAACTTTAACATATAAGCACAGTTCTTTGAACTACAAAAAAAAGGATAATTGAAGTTTAAACATAATAGTTCTATCTGTGTTTCTAATGATATTGGTAATATAACCTAGATTACGGAGCTAACATCTTAAGTTCTTATAATGAGTACTGCCCTCTTGTCTATTTTCTGTATTTTGTTTATAACAAAGTAACTGATTAAAGTTTTTAGGCTGTACGTAACTTACAATGGAAGTTTTTAGATTGTACGTAACTTACAATGGAAGTTTTTAGGTTGTACGTAACTTACAATGGAAGTTTTTAGGCTGTACGTAACTTACAATAACATTAACATTACTTAAAATTCTTATTATAGTATCAGATATACAGAAGGCAATTAAAGACTTGTACTCTTTAATATTAACTTGTAACCCTGGAGTATACGTAGCAATGACTGCTAACACTTGTGACTGATTTTAAGATTTTGAACTGTATAAATTGGCGCGGTGGCGCGAAATATACAATTGTCAATTAGATCCTCTAGATAATTTCTATTTAATAAAAACAATATTTATTTAACTTATCTGAGCTACATGATTTTCGTTTGCGTTGTTTATGTATCTTTGTCACATTTTTGATTCAAGTTAAATCTTCTAATTTCCGTTATTTCTGCTTACCTGTTTTCACACACTCGTCAGAAAGGCAGACTTCATCTACAAGAGAAAAACGTAAAAAATTCAATTTCAACCTTTCTTTATCTTGTACAGTAATCTACCTTATACTACCACGTACTGAAAGAAGTGAAGACAGCTTAGTACAAAGTATTTTACTGGTTTAAATTGGATTTATAAAAAAAGTAATAATAAGTGAAAATAATAGCTGCTGCACGAGACAATCGGTTTAACTCAGACTGATAAGAAAGGAATGTTAAAGTTTGATTTAAAAGAAAGTTAAATTAAATCAAGTCAAAGATAAAGAATCGTATTCACTATTTCTCCGAGGAAATCGAAAACGAAATTTCTGACAAACGCTTTGTCACATTCTTTGTTTCAAAGTTTAACAAAAAAATAGTTTAATATTCTGATCCTAGACCAGCACCAGGTTTGTAAAACCATGTAAGAAGTAAAAAAATTATCCAAGTGTAAATCAACATATACGGTCACAACCACCGAGAAAACTTGCAAATTCAACTGTTTCTCCTATATTTCAAAATCTCTAAAAAAGGAACCAAGTATAGGTTTCCAAACATAAAACAGTCACGATAACATGTAGATAAATCTTATCTTGAACATTTTCTTACGAGTATAGGTTTCCAAACATAAAACAGTCACGATAACATGTAGATAAATCTTATCTTGAACATTTTCTTACAAGGAATCAAGTATAGGTTTCCAAACATAAAACAGTCACGATAACATGGAGATAAACCTTATCTTGAACATTTTCTTACAAGGAATCAAGTATAGGTTTCCAAACATAAAACAGTCACGATAACATGGAGATAAACCTTATATTGAACATTTTCTTACGAGGAATCAAGTATAGGTTTCCAAGCACTAAACAGTCACGATAACATGGAGATAAACCTTATATTGAACATTTTCTTACGAGGAATCAAGTATAGGTTTCCAAACACTAAACAGTCACGATAACATGGAGATAAACCTTATATTGAACATTTTCTTAAGAGTATAGGTTTCCAAACATAATACAGTCACGATAACATGGACATTTTCTAATGAAGAATCAAGTATAGGTTTCCTAACATGAAATCGTCACGATAACATGGACATTTTCTAATGAAGAATCAAGTATAGGTTTCCTAACATGAAATCGTC